TTTACAAGATCTCCAAGCTGATTTTAGCAAATATTTTATTCAAAATAACAGTGGGTCCATGAATACATTTTGGAATGTGCAATTCACTTGTGACAAATATTTTGAGATTTGTATGTATGACAATAAGTTGTTTGATGGAATGCAAGTCTTCAGAACTGTTAAAGTTTCCAAAGACCTCACGTGGGAGGCAACTTATGAAGGACATAAAGCAAACTGTTTGTCATTTCTGATGGCTTTACCGAACAAAATTGCATCTTTTCCTGACTTCATGAAAATTTTAAAGATGGTTGAATTTTGCAAAATATGTGAAGGAGTAAAAAATCAAGCATTTTCAGTACTGCAAACGAACGTACATAATCTGTGTGGTGAAAGCATTGGTAGAATTGAGGAAGTGGTCGAGCAAGATGAGAAGGAAAATGAACAATATTCCCTCAACAGGCGCTCATTAACTTGTGAGTATTTCATAGACACTCCTTTATCAGGAGCACTTTGCCAAAATTGCAATGTCTTGCGAAGAAACATAAGTATTCAACTGGTTCGCTTCAATAACATTCTCCAGGAAGAATCAGAAAGGTTGGCTGAACCTAGCAAGAGCAAAGTGAACAAACGATTCCTTTCAAATGAAGAAGATCTCTGAAAGGGAGAATGACCGAAAGAGAAGAAGGATAACAGCTGAGAAAAGAGTGAAATTTTGGAAATTTAAGGCTGCAGAAGAAAAGAAAATGAAGCACATGGCTGTGGATGATGGCAATGACCTTATGGTGATGCTTAAGGAGCTGGATAAAGTGGATGAGAAAAACCCTGATAAAGAAATGTTCCCAGATAATCCCAAATTATCACTGTTCTGGGAAATGCAACGTGATGTAATATCCAAAAAATCAAAGAAAACGGCTATAAGATGGCATCCACTGTAAGTACTTTAGTGAGTAACTTACTCTAGGGGTGCACTTTATTCCAGTCAATCACGATAATATTAGATGCACAATGAACAACTACACCTGCCAGGTATTAATTGTTGGATAGTGATATTATGACCATCTGGTTGGATATAATATCTGCTGCACCCTGTCATATTTAAACAGTCATGTATTTTATCTGTTTCTATAGCTCCCAGGTGTTTTTACATCTACTACATGTATGCCCATATATAGACCCAAATGTAGTCTGCATGGCAGCCTCCCATGGAATAGGCAATCATGGTAGGCACATTGCCGTGCCTGTGGGGGTCTACCACACAGACTAACTTATCGTAGACATTCATTTATTCTACCTATAATATCAACATGAAGTAACAATAGTACAGTATGTTCACTTGGAGACCAAAACTTATAAAATCACTTTTCTTTTTGTACCAATTATTTTTCATTATAGTATCATCAAAACATGCTTGGCTTTATGGCACCGCTCTAAACAGGCATATGAAATTCTGCAGGATTCAGGCTTCATAAAGCTGCCTTCAACAAGACTGCTTCAATATCACAAAGGCAAGATCAAACAGGTTGGTTGGACCACAGGCGACCCAATCTTACCCTGTGTTATTAATTACGTTATATCTTTATATAAATAGTATATTGAAAATCATTAGAAAATCCTGTGTTATTAATTTATTACGTTATATCTTTATATAATAGTATATTGAAAATCACTTACATGTGTTTCCTGAAAGATTTTAACGAGAACCGGCCAAGATTGGCGTTGATAAGAGGTTAACGGCCATAGTTGGGGTTGACATGATGATTAACAGCAAGAAATAATAGAAGGTTGGTCACTTTGACCGTTAATTGCACTAATTGGGACAAACGCTGACAGAAATCAATCGAATAACGCCAACTTCGGCTGTCGCATCCTCGCCAAATTACGTTACATCGGAAGAGTGATAATTTTTACATAATATACTTTTCTTTAACAGAATTTAACAATATCTTCCTGCAGAAAATGCCGAATTGAAACTTACAAATGTCTAATCTTCCGAGGTTTGTGATCGGTATGAATTGATGCCCTTCAAATTCGAATTACACGCTGCATTGTCATTGATCGGCTTTCAAAACAACAACAGGACATTCGCACAGGCCATTCGCTAACTCCCAAAACGTTCGCTCTCTTACCGGAAATGTCCTGTTGTTGTTTTGAAAGCCGACCAATGACAATGCAGCGTGTAATTCGAATTTGAAGGCCATCCATTCATACCGATCACAAACCTCGGAATATTAGACATTTGTAAGTTTCAATTCGGTATTTTCTGCAGGAAGATAATGTTAAATTCTGTTAAAGAAAAGTATATTATGTAAAAATTATCGCTCTTCCGATGTAACGTGATTTGGCGAGGATGCGACAGCCGAAGTTGGCGTTATTCGATTATTTCTGTCAGCGTTTGTCCCAATTAGTGCAATTAACGGTCAAAGTGACCAGCCTTGTATTATTTCTTGCTGTTAATCATCATGTCAACCCCAACTATGGCCGTTAACCTCTTATCAACGCCAATCTTGGCCGGTTCTCGTTAAAATCTTTCAGGAAACACATGTAAGTGATTTTCAATATA